GATAACTAAAAATTTTTCTTAAGGACATTTCTGCCTCTTTGAGAATACTATTAAGAACATATCCATCATCTACTTAATTTTAACAAGAAAGGGGTGACAAACAACTTATTTTCTGGGAAAATTATTTTTTTTTCTGAAGTGTCTGACATATAACAAAGACATGGTCTTGGTTAGTGACACTTTTGTCAATTATTCTAGAATTTTGGGAGGCAAGGTTATTTCCTGTCAGAAAATTTTGTCTGTGTTTGATGGGAATTCACATTAGAAATGTTGACAACTAAACACTAGAATCATTTTAGCAGTTTGATGTGAGAAAAGAGTTGGGCAGTGACAGCAGTGTGTACGATAGCAGGTTTGAGTTGAGTAGAATATACATTCCTGTCATCACTTAGGGTCTGGGTTACTTACAGGGATTGGATTGAACCCATAGGTGCTCTACCACTGAGTTACAGCCCTTTTTTCCCTTCTTGAACTGGGATCTCCTGAAGCTGTTGAAGCAGTCTCAAACTTGGGATCCTCCTGCTTCAGCCTCCCAAATTGTTGGGATTAGAAGCAAGCAGCACCATGCCCAGCTCTAATCACTTTTAAAATAACCCTTTCTACTTACTGGTGTTCATATGAGCAAATTTGGAAAATGTAGATAGATGTGCATATACCAGCCTTCATGGTATGACTCATTACAAATTATCTTTTCTTTTGAAACACTGCTAGTTATGATAGAGAAAAATTAAAATAAAGTTTAGCTTAAACTAGCTACAGTGTAAAAAAAAATTTCTTCAATTTGTTTAACTCTAAAAAGGATATTTATTTTGATTTTTTAAAAATCTTGTAAGGTGTTTGTTGCTTATTACTATTGAAAGGTGCTGTGGAAACAAACATGTAAGTAAAGACTTCTCGGAAGAGGATATATTTTCAATTGTCTAGAAATATATCGAATCTCTTTGACCTGAGAAGTCCAAGTTGAAAATAATTAATAATTATTATTTTGAGCAAGTAAAATATTCCAGAATGAAAGAGGTCAGTACTGTTAAAAATACTGTAATAAATCATTACTTTTTTTTTTCATATTCACATGTTCCTAAGTAAACAAAATAAATAACGAATTACAAAGATATTGAAAATGTTCCAGTTTCTAAGCATAGAGGATATGTTGTCAATGGACAAAACATGCATGCCTTTTTGGAGTTTTACATTTGAGAAACATAAGAGTTAGCTAGGAGGAAAACAAATACTTTACCATACAATTCTGTGGTTTATAATTGTTGCAGTAACTCACTCGCAGGTCAGCATGAGAAAGAAAGAAGAAGCAGAGGAAGCCAAGCAGCAGAAGAAAAAAAGTCCTTTATTGTATACAGCAGTCTTTTTATAGTATTGTGAACAAAGAAGGCAGACTTCCAATAGCAATAAATCAGGTCTTTCAGCTAGTTAAACATAGCATATAGAAGTTTTACTTTCTAATTAGAAGTGACCTGCTTCTCATGGCTAATCTACTCAGAGCATGCTGAGCTCTGCTCTTTGTTAAGAACAGATAATAAAATTTTTTTCAGCGCCCTCCTAGCTCACTTGGCAGAACATCCTGTTTGTGAGCAAGTCCTCCCAAGGACACTAGACCCTCGTTTTCAAGCATGTCCCTTGTTACCTTATCTAAACTTTGAAGGAACCTCTCCTTTTCGAGCAAGCCCCAACAAAGACAACAAAACATCTCGTATGCAAGCACGATTTGCTGTCACCTTATCTAGACCTTGATAGAATATCCCATTTGCAGGCAGACTCCATCAAGGACAATAATAATTACATTTTCAAGCTCACCGTCACATCTGATTCTCTACAATAAGACATTTCATTGATTTTTAAGATGCACATCTGAGATGGATGGAATCTTAAAATTGGCATGTCATAACCACATGACAATTTTTCTTCTGAGTGGTACATAGAATAAGAATGTTCTAAGTGTCTTAAAGGTGATGGCATCTCAGAGGCAATGAAATAGGAAATATATAAAAATATCAGGACATTGGTTAATTTTTAGCACCAAAAACTATTCAAGGGTGACTTGCAAAATGAAGATACACAATTCTTTATCCTTTTTTTTTTGGGGGGGGGGGGTGTGAGTACCAGCGATTGAACTCAGGGGCACAGAGCCACATCCCCAGCCCTATTTTATATTTTATTTAGAGACAAGGTCTCACTGAGTTGCTTAGTGCCTCACTGTTGCTGAGGCTGGCTTTGAATTTGAGATCCTCTTGTCTCAGCCTCCAGAGCTGCTGGGATTATAGGCGTGTGCCACTACATTTGACTTCTAAATTCCTTCTGTCTAAACTAGAATTCTTTATTCAGAAGATTCCTATAGAGATCTTTCTCCTCATGTAAAACAAATGAAACACCAGTGTTCATAAATATGAGTACTTTTTTTTTTTTTTAAAGTGTGTGAGGGAAACAAACTTCTTTGTTCTTTTTCATGGAGAGCACATGGTGGGCAGTTAATGCATTTGAGGTTAAGTTGTTCAGAAAACACAAGCAGATTTTATGAAATATGGATTATTTTTGTTTCTTTCTCCTATTTCTGAAAGCTTGTAGGTCCACTTATACTTTTTTTCCAAGACATTCTTAAGTTGAATTTTGATGATTCATAGTTGTTATTGTTTTTATAAGAATGTATTTGAAAACATTTATTCTCTGTGTAAACAGTTTATGTGGGAAAGTAGCTCCATGATATATCTTGGCTAGGAAACCTGTAAAGGACTTTTTCTATTTGATACTGAGGACAGGTTTTATAGGAAACTCAACCATATGAAGGTTACATACCTTTTTCTCCCAGGAGAACTTCAGGTTGCATATCCAAGTGTGGTCCTAGGTCCTGGAGCTTGTTTGAAATGCAGACTGGTGCTGTATGTGAATCTGTGGGAAGCACCAGACAAGATAGGTGACTCTCAGCCTTGAGGGTATTACCAGGATTGCTGGACTAGTATAAAGTTTCTGATTCAGTAGTCTGGGTGGGAGTCTGAGAATTTTAATTTTAACAAATTATCACATGATGCTGATGCTGCTGGTACAGGGGCCATACATGGAGAACCATTATACTAGAGTGTCCTCATTGTACGTTTCTCTCCTCTTTCCTAATTTCTTACTCCTTCAAATAGCTTTTAAAAACAGATTATCATATCCTTTAACTTGATTGAAGGGGGAAAAAGCATATTTTTTTTTTGCAATAACCACATCAAGATTGCTTTTCAGCATCTAATTTCAGAGCAAAAAATCTATTTAAAGCTTGTTTTTAAGTCTTATCTATAGATTTCTCTTTCTCTCCTTTCTGTAAGTATTCTTTTTAATGTTTAAAAAACTTTTTAATGTAGATAACATGTTCTTATGGTTCAAAAGTTAAAATGACACAGGCATGTTTGGGAAAATCTGATTTCCAACTGCTTTGCCCCCCCCTTCACCCCTCTTTCTTAGATAACCTCCTTTAATTTATTTCCCATAGATGTCAATTGTTTCCTTTTATAGTAGGAGAAATGCCAGTGTACTATATTCTTTTAAAATGTAGCATAATATGTAACTAATTCTGTCCCATGGCTTTTTCTTTTTTTTTTTTTTTTTTGGTTGTTCAAAACATTATAAAGCTCTTGACATATCATATTTCATACATTAGATTCAAGTCGGTTATGAACTCCCAATTTTACCCCAAATACAGATTGCAGAATCACATCGGTTACACATCCACATTTTTACATAATGCCCTATTAGTAACTGTTGTATTCTGCTACCTTTCCTATCCTCTACCATCCCCCCTCCCTCCCCTCCCATCTTCTCTCTCTACCCCATCCACTGTAATTCATATCTCTCCTTGTTTATTTTCCCATTCCCCTCACAACCTCTTATATGTAATTTTGTATAACAATGAGGGTCTCCCTCCATTACCATGCAATTTCCCTTTTCTCTCCCTGGCTTTTTCTTTATATGCTCTTGAGATCTTTTCCTACTAGTATTTATTTAGAAAGAATATAATATTTGTTTATAGAAATCACTTTTTTAAAAAAACAGCTGTATTCAAACAGCATCTATTAAGTTCATTGTTTACTTAATCAGCCCCCCTGGTGGGTATTTGGGTCTTCTCTAGGTTAATCACAGGCCATACTGTGGTGAAACAGCTTGTATACATATCATTTTACATATGCAGGTACATCTGTGGGATACATTCCTAGAAGTGGGATCGCTGCACCACTGGGTAGTGCATTTATAATTTTGTTAAATACTTCCTTTCTTAAGTGTTGCACCATTTTAAACTCCCACAAGTACAGTTGCTCCTCTTTATCCATGGAGGATTGGTTTGAGGACCCCTTTGTGAATACTAAAATTCAAGGATGCTTGAGTCTATTATATGAAAAGCATAGTATTTGCATATAACCTATGCACATCCTCTGCATACTTTTAAATCATCTTTAGATTGCTTAGAAGATCTAATACAATATTAATGCCATGTAAATAGTTGTTACAATACAGTGTAACAACTGTATTGTAACAACTGTATTTTTTCCTTGTCAAGGAAAAAAGTTGGTATGTGTTCAGTATGACAATTTTTAAAAAAATATTTTCACCTATAATTGTCGAATCCAGTCTGAATACCACAGATACAAGAGGACAGATTGCAGTGTATGAGAGAGTTCCTATATTTCTGAGGGCTTTCCAATGTACTGTGTGTTTACAACCCTTGAATTTGTTAACAGTTTGATAGATGAGAATTATCAATATAGAGTAGTTTTAATGTACATTGCTATCATTATTAATGAGGCTGAGCTCTTATGCTTAAAAACTAGTTGTATTTCTTTTCCTGTAAACTCTCTGTTCATGTGTTTGTTCACATTTTTGTTTTGAATTGCTTTTTTCCCCTTATCAATTTCTAGAAATTTATAAATTGTAGAGATTATCCCTGTGTGATATAAATTGTGTAGTTTTTTCCCAGATTTTCACTTGTTTTTTATTTACCTTCACATATTTTGATATACAGAAGTCTTACATTTTTTTTCTTTGAATTTTACAGTTTATATTACTCATTACAGTATCTTGATTTTTTTAAAAATATTTCTTTATTTCTATGTGGTGCTGAGGATTGAACCCAATGCCTCACAAGTGCTAGGTAAGTGCTCTACCACTGAGCTACAGCCCCAGCCCAGGTATCTGGATTTTAAGTCACTGAAAGGCCTCCAAGATTTTTAGAATTTGCCCATGGTTTCTTTTAGTACTTTTATGGTATCACTTTTACATTTAAATGTTCAAACTAGGATTTATTCTGGTGTTCAGAATGATGCATAGGTTCAGCTTTCTTTTTCTGTGTCCCTATTATTTTCACCTGTTGATTTTAGAGCCCTTCTTTGAATACTCTTATGGTATTGTTAACTTTTGGATGTATTGGGGTGTCTCTGGGGTTTGTATTCTATTAGTCTTTTTCTTCATATATCAGTATCACAGTATTGGTTTTATAAAAGTTTTAACATCTTTTAAAACTAGTTTCCCCTTGTTGCTTTTCATATTCCTGGGAATTCTTGCTTGCTTATTTTTCCATGAGTACTTTTGAACTGTTTTGTCTAGTTCCAGAAAAACAAAAAACTAAAATAAATAAACATCAGATTAAATATATACATTTAAAATCTATTTAACTTCTCCAAACTTTTTTTTCTTTTTTCAGGTTCTTAATAAAGGTGCTAAGAAAGAATGTAACACAGGAAAATAATTAAATATTTTCACTGTGGTAAGTGTTTTATGATTTTACATTTTAAAAATTCTTTAATTTTTATTATTTTTTAGTTCTGCTTCCTTAAGTTATAAAAGGGATATTGTTTTAGGAGCATTTGACTTCATAGAACCTGTGGTTGGTAAGGTGGATGCCAATAATGTGGGCTGTTTGAATAATGACGTTTGTCTTTCCCTCTCTTTGACTCTAATATTTTAATTTCTATTATCTTGTCATTATAAAGTATGGTTCTGAGAAGGAGATCCTGTATTACATCTACTTGCAACATTCAATGAATTCTTTCCTCTTAAATAGGAAGTTGAAAAGATTTGAAGTAATTTTGGTGATATAGAGGCATTTCTAAAAAGTTTGTTGTGATTTTTTATTTTACTAATTAGAAAAAATTTTACCCATATAAAACAACATAATGACAAAAGTCAGCCCTCAACTCCTGCACAAAGAAATAGCCACCATTAACTCACTTTTGGAAACTTATTGATGGATATGAAAGTATACAGAAGACTTTAAATAAACAGCAGTTTTTCTCTATATGAAGCTATGTGGTCATTTTTAATGTGTTTTATGTATCTCTATTTGTGAGTTGAAACTGATGTGCATAATCATGGGTGATCATTTTACTGGCTGCCTAGTTTGTTTTTTTAATTATTTTTTTAGTTGTCAATAGATCTTTATTTATATATGCAGTGCTGAGAATCAAACCCTGTTCTTTACAGGTGCCAGGCAAGTGCTCTACCACTGAGCTACAACCCCAGCCCTTGCTGCCTAGTTTTCCATCATTTAGAGGCATCGTACTTTATCTAGCTACTCCTTTGATAACTATTTAGATTGTTACTTGTTTTTCTTTCTTGTGAATAATGGCATGTTGATAATAGTATACTTATTCATTTATCTTCTTAGAGGTATAACTGCCAGGTCAAACATTATATATATTTTAAATATTAATAAATATGGCTGAGCCGTTGTCTGTAAAAACTATCCCCTTCAATGTCCATGAGAATCCTATTTTTAAAACCCTTGCTCACACCAAGTTTTCTTAATCTTTTTAATCTTTGCTAATCCAATATGGGAAAAAAAGTACATTTTTTGAGATAACATGTTTTTTACTGGTACTGGGGATTGAACCCAGGGGCACTTCCCCAGTAAATTAGATCCCCAGGACCTTTTATTTTTTATTTTTTTTTTTATTTTGAGACAGGGCCTCGCTAAGTTGCTGAGGCTGTCCTTGAACAGTGATCCTCAACAGTGATCCTCTTGCCTCAGTCTCCTGAATTGCTGGGATTACAGGTGTGTTCCACTGTACTCAACTATTGAAGGAAACCTTGTGTTATTCAAAGATTTCTTTCATTCAATATTCTTATTAACATAAATAATTCTCTTCTTAAGGACATACTTGTGATTCTTATATGTCAGATATTCTTAGGCTTAAATGTGATGAAAATATTTAAATATATTGAGTTGTTTTTAGGTCTTTTGCCTTGATTTTAACTCATTATCAATATTTGAAAACTTGAGGGTTGGGGATGTGGCTCAAGTGGTAGCGTGCTAGCCTGGCATGTATGAGACACTAGATTCAATCCTCAGCACCACATAAAAATAAAATAAAGATATTGTGTCCACCTAAAAAGTAAATATTAAAAAAATATATTTGAAATCTTGATCAACTAGCTATAATTGTTTTGAATACAGAATGTTTTCCTCTGCAAAGAGCAGTACTTTTGTGTTTTATTCACCTGAAGGGAAGCCTAAAATAACTTTCAAAATAATTTTTTTAACAATTTTCAAACATGGATACCAATGGCTGAATAGCATATAGAATATTATTTCCATAATTGGTTGATAATATAGTGTTTTTGAGTTATGTAAACCATGTGATTGTGTGTTCATGTGTAAACCTGTGTGTATTTCTTCTGTCCAAAAGATTTTATCACTTCCTGATGTAAATATGATTTTTAATTTTATGTTTGCTTTAGGTTTTATTTCAATCAAATAAGAGTTACATATAAGGATGGCCTCACATGAAGCAGATTCACAACTTTGTCATTTACCTACTGTTTATTCTTTGGCTTAATAAGAAAACATTAAACTGTCTTCTCTATATAAAGTACATCTAGATTGCTTTTCCTGAGGGGGCTTTTGTTTTCATTTCAATTAACATTGTTTACTGAATACCCCAAGGTTAGGACCATATGGTCCAACTGGTGATTTATTCACTAGTTTTTATTCAGCACTGAATACCTACCTACCTGGTAGGCATCCACAGGTGCTAGGCAAGTGCTCTACCACCCAAATCATTATTTACTTATTTGTTTAATTTTTTGGTACTGGGGATTGAATCTAGGGGAACTTTACCACTGAAATACATCCCCAGCCCTTTTTTATTTTATTTTTATTTTGATACAGGGTCTTGCTAAGTTGCTTAGGGCCTCACTAAGTTCCTAAGGCTGGCCATGAACTTAGGATCCTCCTGCCTCAGCCTCAATCTCCCAATGGTTGATGTGTATTGTCATTATTAGGTTAAAGATGTGAAAGAGAATAGCCATACATTTTAATTTAGAGAAGAGTAACATGATTTCATTTAAATTTAGATGTGCATAACTGTATGGCACTTGCTACTATTTCATTTGATGGAACTTTGTTTCAAATTTTGATTTGGACTATATTCTACTTACTTTTTAGAATCACATAAGCCCTGTAGTTTAAATCTTTTTTTTTTTTTTTCCATTATGGGCAGAGTAAGTATTTAAACTAGGTATGCTGCTAGATCTTGTTTAAAATCTGTTAATGTTTCCCAGTATAGACATGGCAATGTTTTTCACAATATGATGTTTAAAAATAAGGATAAAGGGGCTAGGGATGTGGCTCAAGTGGTAGCGCACTCACCTGGCATGTGTGTGGCCCCGGTTCGATCCTCAGCACCATTCTCTTTCTTTCTCTCTCTCTCTCTCTCTCTCTCTCTCTCTCTCTCTCTCTCTCTCTCTCTCTCTCTCTCAGAAAAAAAAAGAAAAGAAGGATAAAGTAAATGCTCCCCAAAATAAAGTAAATATAATTGTATGGTTCACATTTTTAAAACTAAAATCAGAGAAATGAATTGCCAGACTTTGAGTAGAATGAATAGATTTTTGTCTGGGACATGTCTGTGAAGCTTTTCTGACTCCTAAACCAGTTTTTCATAGCCAAAGTAAACAGAGAGATGGAACAATTAATGATCTAATAGATTTAAGCAGTGTTTTAGTCTGGATTTTATATAGTTCATTTCTGTTGGAATACAGGATTCTAAAGAATAAATGTAACTAGTTTTAATTAGTATTTTTGCAGAAGACATTTGCATGTGAAAATTTTAAAATCAAATAATCCTCTAGCAATTTTTATTTGCACTTTAATTTGCCTAGCAGTTGTTTCTTTTTAATATTTATTTTTTAGTTGTAGTTGGACACAATACCTTTATTTTATTGATTTATATGTGGTGCTGAGTATTGAACCCAGGGCCCTGCATGTGCCAGGCAAGCACTCTACTACTGAGCCACAACCACAGCCCCCAGCAATTGTTTCTTAATACATAGTCCAAAATTAAATCAAGGCAGACTTGAAATTATTGAGTCTTCATTATTGGGCCAAATTAATGAGGTTTTCCTGAACTTTTCCTTCTGGGATCTTATTATGGCTAATGATGTAATCTTATTTGTTTTCTAAAATATTGAAGTTCGATATTTTTGAATCTCTTTTTTGTGGCAGTACAGGAATTTGTTTATACAGTGCCTTTTATTTTACTGATGAGTTCATTTCTTTAATTGTGTGCCCTAAAGCCTACTAAAAATATTCCTGGATAGTGAGGGATTAAATAGAAATTGTAATTAAAATGAAGGATTTATCCTTTATTTCTCCTGTTAGCTGCATTTGTTAAAATTTTTATACAACATTTAAATAAATATTAAGACTTTATTACAGGGCTGGGATTATGGCTCAGTGGTAGAGTGCCTGCCTGGCATGTGTGAGGCACTGGGTTTGATCTCGGCACAACAATAGATAAATAAATAAGTAAACAAACAAATAAATAAATAAGTAAATCTATTATGTCCATCTACAACTACTAAAAAAAAGGACTTTATTATATATTATATTGGTTGGATTTTGTGCATTTGAAACAGTTTCTTCCTATATTAGGCATAAAGCTTAGTTTAGACTGGTATAGTAAGTGATCATTTGATTGGAAAGTTGGGTAGACTGAGAAGTCCAGTCTTCCTGTGCAGAATTTGAGACTTTGTACTCTTTGAGATGAAACAGCTTTGCAATCAGGGTAGTAGTACTGAGCTGCCAGTGGGAGGAGAGATGCCAGATGCTGGTATACAGTGTAGATGAGAGCCCCTCAGGGTTTCCTTCTATAGATTCTGCAACTGACCAGGTCTTCCCAAGGGGCACTGTTAACTCAAAGTCTTATGAGTAGAGTTTTAGAAAGGGGAGGAAATAAGAGTAGCTTTGGGGCACAAGGTCCATAATGAGCTCAGAGCTTAGTGAAACTCCCAAAGTTCTGAATGTCCCATCATCCTGAGAAATTTCCTCCCTCCTAACCCTGAAAGTTTTGTCCAGTGTGTGACATAATGCAAATTTGTGTGGAGCTAGGCAGAGCAAGTCTATTACTACAGAGTCTAGATGCTGTCTTTAAATGGACATCCAGCATGGGAATATGGCTGAAAACCACTACCCCCTCCCCACATCTTATCTATAGCAGTGCAATTGGAATTTCACACAAGCTTTTCCTTCTTTGGTTTGTTTAGAGAGGACACCTAGGTGCAGGTTGTGTTTGTGTATTTTAAACCCCCTGTGATTTGTTTTAGATATATTTCAGTCTGTTAAAATATAACAGTTTTTTTTTTTTTTTTTTTTTAGTCTGAACATTCTAGCAGCCAACATTAACTCAAACATTAATTGCTGTCAATGGGAAAGGATGTCTTTCCACATCTTTTCTTGGTGCTTACACCATCCCACTTCTTTTTTCTTTT